TGCTCACTGTCCGTGCAGCTGCTTTGGTGAGGTGACTGACGGTCAGGTCTTTGGTGAGGTGATGGTCAGGTCTTTTTCTTACCTTCTAATTATTATTTTTAACTGTGGAGTTTAGAAAGATCTTCACATGTTCTAGACACATGAAGTGTTTTGTTGAATGTGTGAATTGCAAGTATATTTTTTCCTGCCTGTAGCTTGTCTTTTCATTCTCTTAAAAGTGTCTTTTGAGAGCATAGTATTTAATTGTGATGCATCAAGTTTTTGGTGTGTTTTTTAAATAGATGAGAAGTTTTTGCTCAGGAGAGTTGTCATTTGCCCCAGTTCCAACACCTAGTGAATAACAGGTGGGGTTTAGAAACAGGGACGAGCAAGTTCGTTGATATTTTTCTCTCATAGATTGTACTTTTGTTATATCTGAGTTTTTTGCCTAATCCTATCACAGAGACTTTTTTCTGTTTTCTTATAAAAGTTTATAGCTGTTTGTGTTACACTTATCTTTGTGTTAAGTTTTATATAAAGTGTGAGGTTCAGGTTGAGGTGTGTGCATGTGTGCATGCGTGTGTGTGTGTGTGTGTGTGTGTGTGTGTGGGGATGACCAGTTGTTCCAACATCATTTGCTGCAGAGCTCTCCTCTCTGGTGAATTGTGGGTCCTCCTCACTGGTTCTGTGTCTGTCCTTCCTGCGCTGCCACACCGTCCTGATTACTGTAGCTGTATGTTGGGTGGTAACATGTATATTGAGTAGCTTAGAATCGAGTGGGGTAAAAATAAACTATAGCTACACTTTTCACAAAATTCAGGGCATGTGACTCCAACTTTCTTCTTTTTCGAAACCCTCTAGCTCCCTTGCTCTTGCACATACATTTTAGAATCAGTGTCTGCCTGCAGTCTGCCTGGAATTTCTAGAGGTTGCATCGAAGTTGTACGCCAGGTTGGGGAGAATGGACACCTTCACCTTGGTAACACTCTATCTGTGTCTCTCTCTGGGTCTGTGGCTTCTCTCTCAGTGTCCTGTAGTTTTCAGCTTACAAATCCTGTATGGATATGTGAGGTTTATCCCTAAGGATGTCAGTGTTTTGAATAATTATAGATGGTATTGTGCTTGTAATGCTGGTTTCCAGTTGTTTACAGCTGCTGTATAGATAAACAGTCACCAGAGTGTCATGGTCATGCATGAGCAGAAGGGAAAGAAGTGAGGCATTGCACGCGCTGTTTACTGTCTTATTAGTAGGATTGTACTTCAGGGACTCACTGGCATCTTTGACAACTGTGTTTTCAGAATTGCCTCTTTCCTACTTGGAATTTCCCCCCCCGGTAAACAGGGAGATGTTCAGATGCCTTAACAGAGAAGGTGCTCTGAGCACACACCTCACTTAGCTGTTTAGCTGAGGGTACCGGCAGGTGGCAAAAATAATAATAAGCCCCTTATTCCACAAGGAGGACCGGACCGTGGATTCTTAAGGTTTTTAGGCCTCACCTGCACCCCCTTCTCACTCAGGCGTCAGGAGAGGAGTGTGGTCCCTGAGATAATTCACCAGTGGGCATCACCCTCTCTGGTCAGTGGGGTCTTCGTCCTCCACTGAGGTATGGAACCTACCCTCTCAGCAGTTCTCCGGGTGCCTGGCGTGTGTGTCAGAATTCTCGGCTTCCTGCTGCTGCTGTGGCCGTGAACCAGCATGTCCCCTAGTGGTCTGCTGCTGTGGACTCTGGAGTTCATGCCACTCTCTTGGGCATCTGATAGGTTTCACAGCCACATAATGGAATCTGTCCTGCAGTAAAAAGGAACATTCTCAATCTGTGCCCCACCTTGGATGAACCTGTGACATTGTCTTGTTGTGGGCATTTGTATAGTTGTCACTGTCAGAGGCGTTCCTTTCACATGTCAAAGAGTTTTAACATCGGTTGCTTGGGTTTACTGGACAGCCCATCACCAGTCTTTCTGCTTAAGACACTCGTTAGTGTGTGCTGTGCGTTTAAGGTGCAGTGTGTTTGTGCAAGAGGAAGCTGGAGAAGGTGCTGAGTGACCAAGTTCTGTTTTCCGATGTCGGGTCGTGGGTGGAGAAGGGCACTTGTGTGTTTGTGGAAGGGATGACTTTCCTTGTCACATGCCCTCTTCCGCTTTATTATAATCATGCACTGGTAGAGATGAAGACTAGTTATCTGTGGGTGAGGAAGGGTTTACTGTGTCGTGGATCTGATCTTAACGGGCTCCTGTGACTAGCCCTGTGGCGGATGGAAAAGCAGAATGTGGGGTGTGAAGCGAGCAGCCCCTCTGGAGAGCAGCTGGGCAGTTTCTCAGGAGTTAAGCATGTGACCCAGTTACTCCACGCCTAGGTCTCTGCATGAGGAATGAAATAGATGTTCGCACTACACTTGTACATGAATGTTTAGTGTCATTAGTCACAGTAGACAAACTGGAAACAAACCAAACGTCCATTAACTGTGAATGGGTAAACCTAATGTAGGCAGCACATACGTGCAGCAGGATACTTTTCAGCAGTAAAAAGGAGCGAGACGCATGCCTCAACACGAACCTCAAAACATGCTGAGTGACAGCCACTTCCGAAACACCACACTGTGTGATTTCTAGGAAATCTTTACCAAGGGCAAATCTACATCTACACGGGGACCAAACAGGTGGGTGACTGCCGGGAGTTGGTGGCAGTGATTGACTGCCAGTGGGCTCCCGGGATCGGCAGATGGAAACTATTCTAAACTGGATTGTGGTGGTGGCTGCACAACCCCACACATTCACCAAAATAATGGAATTATGCACTTAGAATGGGTGAATTTTATGGTCTGTAGATCACACCTCAGTAACGTTTTTAAAAAGGGGAATGAAAGTGAATTTTGTCAACTGAAGTATTAAGAGAAACATTGTCTGAGAAATGTAGTCGTTGGCAGGTGATCTTTTACAGATAGGTGCACTCTTCCGGGGAAAGCAGCACATGGAACCCTTCACTTTGCCTTCAGCTCTGGTCGAGGTGGCATCAGAGTATCTTTCCTTATGTGTTTGCATTTCTCCTGCCCTGTGCACTGTGGCTCGTGGACTCGGTTGGTACAAAGTAGCCTTCGTGGAGCAGTTTGTCAGAGGCCTTATAATTCCTCATAGATATACTTCTGAGGAAATGATTAGGGGCAAAAGTAGATTTTCCTTTTACCTTTCCATCCGGCACAATTCTTTTACCTCTGTGGCTTCAGGGGTTCTTGTGTCCCCAGATCTATGTCTGCGTACCAGACCTTCTGCTGAGGTTTTGACTGAGACCACGTCAGGCCCCCCAGCTCTGCCCCCTAAGCCCCCCAGCTCTCTGTGCTTCGATTTACTCCCTGCTGTAACTGTTCTGTGCACTACTCAACCTCATATTCCTGGTCGCATCCAGCAGACTTCCTCGCACCATGGGTTCACTCAGCATTTGTCCACTTGAATATTTCAGTTTTAAAAAATGGAGTCATTATACTTGTATGTGATTTTATTTTGTTTCCCCCGTCCTAAAAAAATAATCCACAAACATTTTTCTAAATCTAAGAATATTTTTAAACATAGTTTTTGTGGTCAAAGGAAAAAAACCTAACTATGTATGCCTGCTAAAAACATTTTTCAGTACATTTGGGCCTTATAAATACAGTGTTTTTTTTTAGAATAAGAACATAAAACCTAGTAAGTTTCAGACACTAGTCATATGTGGATTTAATTTTTGTACTAGGTATCTTTTCTTACTCCAAAAGAAATGAATGCTCTTTGAAAAATTAAAGCAATTCAGAAATATGCAACGTAGACACTGAAGGTTTCATACTATTTATGGAGTCCTTGCAGGTGAAACAAGTTATAGAAGTGATGGTGCTTTGTAAACAGAATAAATTTGCTCATGGGGCAGGGTGTGGTTTACCCGTGGGGTAGATGTGGTTTGCCCATGGGGCAGGTGTGGTGTGGTCAGAGGTTGAGCATCAGGCAGGTGGCTCTGTGTGTCCACCTGCACAGTGTGTGCTGGTATGTGGGACAGGTCTGTGCTGCCACCGGAGTGTGTGTGCGCAGGGTGTGGGCACCCCCCTTCCCTGAGTGCAGACAGTGAGTAGTATGTAGGGTCAATTAGCAAAGTCAGCTCTAGCTGAACTTTTCTTAAAGTGCAACACTCCTAGAAGTACGGCTGTGGGAACCTTGCAAGCATCTTAAAGGCTTCTGCTGAGTTCTCCACTCTTGGCAAATTGGCTTGCACAGAGAAACGTTGGCTTTGGGGAAGGTCATGAAAGAAATAGGAATGTGCTTCTCCTTTTCGTCTGGCCCTTTTGCACTGGACAGATGTGATATTTGTAGGAACTACACCCAGGCAGAGTGACAGAGGCTTGGTCTTCAGGGGTAATGGGGTTCATGAGAACTGCGAGTGGTCACCACTCAGTGCTTCATGGGAAGACTGCGAGAACATAAAGTGTCAGCTTAGCAGTTACGGGTTATGGCGGTGCTTGGTTTTCAGTTCAGACTCCTTTCACAGCAGCTGTAATCTCACTGTAGACAGTCCCAAACCAGTGTGTGGAGCTTTCTTTAGCTACTCTGGTGGCTTAGCCGGGGACCAGGACCTGTCTAAGTGTGGTAGTGATAGAGACACATGGGAATGACAAAAGGCTGTTTCCCTTTGGAAGTAAAGTCGGTGACAAACTGGTTTGAAAATAGTGCTGAGAGCCCTGTGATGAAATGACAAGAGCACAAGGAGGGATTTTCCCCTAAAATCCGCTCAGTGTGCTTCCCCAGGACCACAGGGAAGAATTCGCTCCTGGTTAGACTGGTTAACGGAGGACTCGGCAGCCTTGCTTCCTGTAGAGACAAGCCCTTGACCCTAAGCCGCCACATCTCTACCTTCTGCGCACGCATTGCTGCTCCTCTCCCTTTACATGTGCTCTGGTTTGTTTCCATGGCAAATGCATTTTAAACAGCCTCTGGGATAATTGTTGCCATTAATCAGTTGATGTTTCCTTTTTAATGACATGTTCATTTATTCCCTTTGCTAGCTGGATTGCCTTTTGCAATTCTTACTTCAAGGCACACCCCCTTCCAGCGAGGACTATTCTGTAATGATGTGTCCATCAAGTACCCTTACAAAGAAGACACCATCCCCTATGCCTTATTAGGTGGAATAATCATTCCATTCAGTATTATCGTCGTAAGTTCAATCCGCTTTTTCCACATTTTTCACTTTTGGTCAGTGGGCTTGATTTTTATGTTAATTTGTTAATGATTGAATGCATAACCCTGTAAACAATGTTGTTGCTTTTAACCTTTAATTGAAGGTGTTACTTGATCCAGGTAATTGCATTTATTTTAGGTGGGGCCAGAAGAAAAACAATGTATAATTAGAAGAACTTACTGAACACATGTATGCCACTGTGATTTTTAGAGCTCTAATTTGCTACTGTTTTAGTAATCTTGGAAAGATGAATGTTAATATCAATGTTTCTACTTTTACGCATAGGTTAGATAGTATTTTATAATTTATTGAATCTGTGTAATGTACCCACTTTCTAGTGACTGAGTTCTGGAAAAGAAAATCTGCTAACTAATGTTGGGACTTCATTTAACACTTCAAAGAATTTTTAGGTAATGCCAGAAATGGGAGAGAAAAACCAAAGTTCTGTGTATAATTAGTAGTGACAATGGAAGAATTTTTATCAGCACTGAGCACAGTACTACCGGTTCTCTTCTAGGCGACCAGGTGGGAGTGCTCAGAGAATGGCTTCAGGAGACCGCAAGTGCCTGGACTAGAGGGTTCCTTTCTGTGATCTCTTGACCCAGGGATGCTATGATTTAGATTAGTTTTATTTTTCATAACTTGTAACTTTAGAAACAAGATTTATCTTAGTTAAGAGCAGAAACTGTGGTCCCATCCAGGAGACAGGCCAACAAGATCATAGCATTATATTTTGGGAGTTAATTAAAAATAGAAGACATTTCTTAATTTTGAAATTTAATGTCTTATTCAGGAATGACCACAGGTCCTTATTAGCACTAAGAGTTACTCAGCTCATGATTTGTGATGCGTAGTTAATAAAAGAAAACCTCTGCTGTACAGATGTTGGTTCCATGAGACTGAGCTCCTTGGAGGCAGGGCCGGTGCCTGTTCCCCTTGGTGTCCTTGCGCCAGCCCTGGAGCCTGCCACGTCCTGGGCACGGGGTGAAGCCCAGTAGTTAAACAGTAACCTCGGTGACCCTCCTACAGCGTGGGGTGACATTTTAAGGAACAGTTCTTTGAACTGAGTTTTTACTATTAAAGGAAGAAAGCCAAGCCCCTGATCTCCCACTAAAGAGGGAGTAAGAGGAGGGACTTGTTTTTTTTTTAAGTACAGGTTTCTGGGAGATCACTATTTACATACAGAAATTTAGTTGCAAATAGTAGCTGATTTCAGGCAAGACTCAAGCACTTAGACACAAGGGCTCCGACAAGACAGCAGCTGCACCTGTGCTTCAGTTTCAGCTTCCTTGGCCCTCACTCAAGGAGCGGGTGCTCTACAAGCTCAACTGCAGGGGTCGCTACAGACAGAGGCGGGCAGTGCTGCAGGACAGGGTGTAGCCGCCCGCCACACCCACCGGGTGCACGGCCCTCAGTGGCACTCCCTACTTCTGTCAGTAACGTGTGACTTTGTTCCAGCATCACCTGTGAGAATGTTACCTTTACATTTAACATAAGAGCGGGTAACTTGTGTGTAGGTTCCCTTAAAACGAACAGACTGTTTAAAGGTTCTAAGAAGTACTACTTTCACATTAACCGTATCAACAAAGACAAACGCTGCTCTGGGTCAGTGGATTTGTGTGCTAATTTAAAATAATTTCAGTTTATTCATTAACTCAGCCTCTCCCAGGCAGCACTTGGTTGGATGTGTGCATGTTTATTTACTGGAAGGTAAATCATTTCTTTAAAGAAAACCCTTAGGACTATGATTCCGACTTCATACCAGGCTTTTGATGTGGATTGCAAAGGATCCACAAACATATGAGTGATTGAGGGGCCTGGTAGAGAGCAGGATTCATGCAGTTTCTCAGAGGCCCAGGGAGAACTTCAGTAAAGAGGAGATGGTCATCGAAGTCCAGTATTGCTAAAGTTAAGGCAAACGAGGGTTGATAAAAATAGTTCTATCTGATGAGACTACTTTGATTTTTGAAAGATTTAGTAGAATACAGGGAATGAGGTAGAGATATTAGGAAGGGGTGGAAACAGGCCAGTGATTCTAGATTATTACTTCGGGAAGGTGGGCCCTGAGCAGAAGACAGGACAGTCTACAGACAGTCTAGAATGTATAAGTCATATAGCAGGTGGTGACAGGATACTGTGGTTCTAGGTTTCAGATGGTCGAATCACAATGATTTAGATAATTATCAGCTTTGATCTTCAAAGTATTCTCTTTACCCCTCAAACATTATCTTTAGTTCTTTAATAATTTGTTCTGTCTTTAGAATCTGAGTGTCTAATGAATGACAGTCATCCCAGCTCTAAGATTAGGCCACAGACTAGGGGTAACTCAAGTGTGGACATCACCAGAGGCTAAGAATGGACATAAGTGGCTCAAAAGGCAAGAAACATACTAAAATGAAGCAAAAATATGGCTGCCATGTGTAGGTCAAACACACAGACACATCCCTGCATTAATTTAGAAGAATTACTTAGAAGGTTTCTCTTGTCTGTTTCTATCAGTAGAGATGGAGCACATGATAGGAAACAATGTCAGCTGACCTGGCCTTGGCCAGCTTTTGTCCCCTGCCCTCCCCAGTACGCAGGGTTGAGTTTCAGTGTGTGCTACTTCTGTAAATCAGCGTTTAACCTGCGCCCAGTGCTCTGCATGCTCGTCAGCTGATCTGTCTCCAGTGGCAAGAGCCAGGGTCCTAATACTGACCATTACGACCAGGAAGACTCAGATACCAAACACTTGTTTCTAGAAAGTAGTCGATTGCTTACGCACTGACGGACAGCCCAGATACGGACATTTCAGCTGCTTGAGTGGGGTTGATAATATACTTGGTGCATATTTTACATGATCAGAGATCAACTGCACAGTGAACAGGAGAGAGAGTCTTTCTTGCTGCTGGTCTATAAGGCTGGTGCTGGGACAGCTTAGTGGCCGGAGGAGCCGGTGTAGACGTCAGCGCAAGGCCACCCTCGGGGTCAGGGAGAGCCCTCAGCAACACTGCGCAGGCGCGTGGCCGGCCTCCCCGGGACCTGTTCTCAGAGGGTGGATGGTCACTCGCACGAGCACCGTGACGAGGACTCTGTCTATGGGGCTGGATGGGTTTAAACTGAGGGTGTTCATCTTTTCCTCAGAGGCAGCACCTTCAGGTAAAATTATTCACCACCCACTCTGTTCTAGGTCGCTGGTGGTTCTTTCTAGTCAACAATGAAGACTCAGCCTGGCTTTTGTAGAATTCATAGTCTAGTTGTCAGAGTTACAATATTCTAACTGTGGAGTTTTAGGAGCCGTTGAGCCAGAGGAAGGAATTTTGGTGTCAGGTTCTTGGATTCTTTTCACGAGGCAGCAGGCAGCGTTTATTTCTCCTGTGGTGAGGCTCTCCCTGAAGACAGCGAATCCCGCTAAAGGGAGCGTTTGAACAATTTTATATAAAAAGCGGTGAAGTTAGTACAGGTCTTAAGCGAAACTGTGACTTACATCCCCACCTCAGCATAAAGCAGCAAGCGGACTGTTTTCCTGTTTAAACAGTGTTTATTTTGGTCTCAGGCAGCTAGAGTGTGGCTTATTTTATTAGCAAGTGTAATTTTTATAATGCTGCCATTCAGTGTTTCTTAAAGTTCTCAGGGTATTAGTCTGTGAACTTGTAAAGTATTTGGAAACCTTTTTATGCCTCTGAACTCATTACACTGTTGCAAGCGCATTCACATGCTGAGCTAGACCTGAGAGGCTTTGCCTCCAGTTCTGCAGGAGTCAGTGAGAAGAGAGGAGAGTCACTTGAACGGTTTTCTTGGAGGAGAGCATCAGTGCGTTTGCTCTTTCAGTAGGACGAGGTAAGGCAGCCTAGCCTGCAGGTCCCCTGGAGAGGCCGCGGGAGGCCCCGTCAGCCCCCTCTGCCCCCTGTTACCCACTGGCTTCAGGGTTAGATCCCTGCTGTATATTGAAGTTTTTACTCCTTGAAACTCTCTTCCCCATTTTGTTAGGATGGATGTTTTGATTCTAAGGAGTGTCTGATAAAAATGAAGAGTGTCAGAGACTTACAGAGGGGATATTCTAACTGGGGAAGTGTGTGTTCTTTGAATAAACCATGTTTTTGTCCACAATACATCACTGCCTACTTATTAAAACTCAGTTTATTTCAGTGCAAGAAAAGAAACAAGGTTGTGTTTTAGGTGGACCGAAGTTACACTGGCTTGGCCATTGCTCTGTAAGCAGTATCCACAATCGATCTGACACCCTTTTTGGGGTTAGGTGTCCTAAGTGGACTCTCCATTTGCAAAGGAAAAAAAGGGGCGGTGGTTTTTAAAATGATTTTATTATGATTTACCATTTTCTTTTCTATTTTTAATTTTGTTTAAAGTGCCTGGTTCTAACGTACTGTTTTCTGTTTCTTTTTCAGATGGTTATGGGAGAAACCCTGTCTGTGTACTGTAACCTGTTGCACTCGAATTCCTTTATCAGGAATAACTATGTAGCCACTATTTACAAAGCTGTCGGGACCTTTTTATTTGGTGCAGCTGCTAGTCAGTCCCTGACTGACATCGCCAAGTACTCGATAGGCAGACTGCGGCCGCACTTTTTGGACGTCTGTGACCCAGACTGGTCAAAAATCAACTGCAGCGACGGCTACATAGAGAACTATGTCTGCCGGGGGAACGTACAGAAAGTGAAGGAGGGCAGGTGCGTGTCTGTTTAGTGCCTGATCCAGCCCGAGAGCTCTGGGAATCTGTTTCAGTGGCTGGAAGGCGGGCTGTCCATTCACTTGGGGCAGCTCGAGTCCTCACAGAGGGAGCTGAGAGCGTCTCTGGTCTGTTTGCTGTGCTCCTTCCCTCTTTACCCCGTCCCCTGTGTAAAAGCATTTTAATGCGACTGTTTTCCTCTCCGATATAATACTGTAAAATGAACCTCATAGGTCATTAATAGTCCAGGGTCAGCAAATGCTTTTAGGTGCCAGGGAGTAAATATTTTGGGCTTTGCAGGCCGTAGCGTCCATCTGACAACTATCCAACTCCGCGGCCATAGCAGGAAGCAGCAGCCACAGACGGTCTCAGGGCGAATGGATGGCTGTGTTCCAGAAAGACTTTGTTTACATAAACATTGGCTGCCTTGGGGGTACTGTGTGCTGACTTCTGATCTAGACAGCCCTGTGTGACGCTCTGCTAGATCTCTTAGTGTCCTTAGAGTAGACCTTTTCTAAGGTAACTTTGATAAGGTCTCGACAGCTTGGGGTCTTCATGTCGCCGCCTTATTCCACCTTTGCTGGGCTGCTTTCTGCATCTGGAGCTCTGTTAGGGACAAGACAGCTGGGAAGGGGCCGTCTCTTCCTCAAATTCTGACCCCCATTGTGTGACATTCTATTTTCTCACACTGCTTTCGTCACTTTTACTCATGTATGGTTCTGTCTTTATTTTTAATCTTCACCCGAGGATATTTTTTTCATTGCTTTTCAGAGAGAGTGGGAGGGAGGGAGGAACATCGATGTGAGAGAGACACATTGATGGGTTTCCTCCTGCTCCAGTGCCAACCCGGGCCGGGGATAGAGCCTGCAGCTGAGATATGTGCCCTTGGCCGGAATCGAACCCGGTACCCTTTAGTGTGCGGGCTGATGCTCTAACCACTGAGCCGAACCAGCTAAGGCGTGGTTCTGTATATTTGTGCTGCTCAGAGTTTGTTGAGCTCAAATGATTTTCACCATTTGAGTCTCAGTTCTGTACTTTTCTATCAAGTACCACATCCTTGTCTAGTATCTTTCCTGCATCACCCAGCAGAAAACAGACAGGAAAACTGATGTTTGCTCCTGAGCCAAGGAGTTCAAGGTCAGTGCAGTCGGTGATGAGGTTCCCCTAAGGTTTAGGTGCATAAATCTTAGCTCAAATTTTTCTTATGAGAGTGTATCTTGAGAGGTTTTTCTTTCTTACACAAGCCATTTGGACAAAACAGGAAACAATGTAATTTATGTTAAATGGTGTGAAAGGAATTACGTGTTTTTGTGCGTGGTACGCTCTCTTCCCGGTGAATCTGAATTAGCCACATGCGCCGTTTCTCTGAATGTACTTTTGACGTCAGTACACTGAGGTTTTTACCCATCACCCTTAAAGTTTTCACACCAGCCCAGGAGCCGTTGTCCACTCCCAGGCCTGTGTCCAGTCAGGAAAGCAGCCTCTTCATGGGCAGCGTGACCACCTGGGTCACTCAGACCCCAGGGCTGTATGTTAGAATAAGCACAGTTCTCAGTGAGACCTGTCAGTGAGCTTTAGGTTCTAAGCCAGGAGAAAGGAAAGTCAAACACACAAGTGACATTTTAAGATGACTTGTATCTTCCTAGAAACATGTGACTCCTTCACGTGTCCAGAAGGAGCTGGTCGTTGCCGGCTCAGGGCTGTGGTGGTAGATTAAGGTCATCTGTTCCCTTTCTCCTGATCCTAGTCAGATACCAAACTTGCAGAGAGATTGCAGTCTAGATGTCTTCTGGAGTTCATTAGGGTTACAGTGTAATCTGCTTTTTCAGTTTGCCTATCTCCTCTGCCTGTCCATTTTTAATGATAAAATTACAATGCTTGACCCTGGGAGAAGGGAACACAATCCTGGAATGAGTCATTCTGTTGACTGTAGATGAGTCAGAGTAACGTGTTGGGAGGAGAGTGCCTCCTACAGTTTTGGGTTTTGGTCTTGATTTTCCCTGTTCTCTTATTTTCTTTGTGGCCCCCCTCCATGCACACACTCTCATGCTTTGACATCGCTGACGTTGAAGCACCTCCCTGGGCTTTGTTTGTGGTGGCCGCTGGGTTCTAAACATAGAAATGAGAACATGATGGACCATGATGTGTATGTCCTACCTGTAATACCCAGAGAGCTCCTGCTTGTTGTTGTTTTGTTTTTAATATATCTTTATTGATTTCAGAGAGAGGAAAGGAGAGGGGGAGAGAGATAGAAACATCAGTGATGAGAGAGTCATTGGTCGAGCCCGCAAGCCCGGCATGTGCCCTGACGGGGAATCGAACCCCGATCGCCTGGATCCCAGGTCGATGCTCAACCGCTGAGCCAGTGGGAACAGCATGACTCTCAGGTTTGGGAGAATATCTTTCTAATGAGCCCGGGTGGTTGAGACCTGCAGCTTCCTTCCCAGGCCAGGTTTCTCTTTAGAGACTAGACCAGTGGCTCACAAACATCAGTGGTTAATAGAACCACCGGAGAACTTGTTAAAACAGACTCTGGGCTTCGTCCCTGAGTGTTTGATTCAGAAGGTGTGGGATGGGGCCTGAGAACTTGCGTCTGTAACAAGTTCTTAGCCGCTGCTGACCTCAGGACTGCACTTTGAGAACCACCTGGATGACGGGAACGCAGCCTTGTGAGACATGTGCCCGCTCAGGCTATGCAGCTGCTGGGGACCCTGGTGGGCAGGCTGCACACAGACAGCTGGTGTGTCTGTGATAGTACAGTATAGAAACTGTGGCACCTTTACGAGACTCTTTTCTTTTTTCTGGCTTTTACTTAAGTTACATCTGTTTCAGCTAAACTGTATTCCTGAGCAGTTCCGAGTGGCTGACTGACCTCTGGCTGCATGCGTCAGATACTCGACACTAAGTTACTTCTGTTTGCCTAACGCAGCTTTGTATCGTTTGTTAGATGTTTAATTGTAGTACGTTTGGTCGAACGCACGAAATAATTTTCCTTTTTAAAAAATTTATTTCTGGTTTATTCTTCCAGTATTTAAACATTTTTAAAAAAATTATAGTTACTCTTTTCTCTTTTTTAACTGCAGCTCACATTAGGTGAGTAAACCTGGAGTTGGAGGGAGTGTCCAACAGTGAAAACCCACTCTGACTAGTCTGACAGCTGAGGTGCTAGTACCTGGTAGAACCTGCTCTGTCCATGGAGAGAATGGCTTCCTCTTTGTTCTCACTGTAGACGGTGCTGGCTGCGCCTGGGCCTCCCAAAAGGCTCCCCTGCTCAGGCTCTGCTGTGTTTCTTGTGCGTGTCAGCAACCAGACAGCCTCCCTCAGTTACAGAGCTCTGTGGATACCGCGTGTGGAATGAGGGAGACGATTTGAAGGGACATAGTTCTCAATATATTTAAAACTATGTGACTTCAAGGCACCTCTGTCCTCGTCCTGTGCTGAGTGTCGGTACCTGATACCAGGTTGTCACTGTGGCTGCTTCCTGACCCCTCACCACCCTGTCTCTTCCTGCCCCCAAGAGTCTCACACTTTAGCTTCATGGGAATCACAGGAGGATTTGTTAAAATACAAATTGCTGGGCCTGACCCCTGAGTTTGTGATTCAGTGTGTCTGGGCTGGGCTCAAGAATTCGTGTTCCTAAACAGTCCCAGATGGTCTGGCTGCTGATCTGAGAACTGCAGCGGCAGCTGGTCCATTGGGTTCCTGGATCCAGCTAGTGCTCACTGCTCCTCAGCTGCCTCCTGCACGCCCCCTGCTGGGGATCGAGCCCACAGCCTGGGCGTGTGTCCTGACTGGGAATCGAACTGGCGACCTCTTGGTTCATGGGTTGATGCCCAACCACTGAGCAACACTGGCCGTTTATATACTTCCTTCCCTCATGTTGCCCTGTGTGAGCTGTGACTGCTGCTCCTGGATGCCTCACCTGGTACAGGGATATCAGTGCCCAGTTTTAATACAAGTGCCAAACAGAAGCACATAATCTGGGGGGGAATCTAAGGCAAGACGTGTACCCATGAAAATGCTAAACTATTGCTGTCTTAAGTCCTTAGAATTTATTTTTTAAAGTGTAGTCCACTTCTGAATGTCCCAGACCCTGCCAGTGGGAAATCAGCATAAATCATGGTCACATAAGCTCACATGTAATGAAGTCAGGTCCCTCATGTGGGTTGCGGCGAGTCAGGAGCTACTTGAGAAAGGCCTGGAGGCTGTTCCAGTGACTCATCACCCGTCCTCAAAGTCTCACTATGGTGACACTGTGATCGGACCTCAGACCCCCATTGCTCTTCAATGTCCCCCTCCTAACCCCCACCCCCCGACTTCCAAAGGGGAGGCAGGGAGCTGTGTGCACTGGGGAATGGGGGTGAGGTCCAGGCTGTTGGGCCTGTGGGGAGAATGAACCTCTCTCTCTCTTCCAGGCTGTCCTTCTACTCAGGCCACTCCTCCTTCTCCATGTACTGCATGCTGTTCGTGGCGGTGAGTACAGTGCGTGCCGATGGCGGGTCTTGTGTTTGCTCCCTGCAGCCACATGAAGCCCACGTGCTTACCTGGGCCTGGCCTCCCAGGCAGCCACCTCCCACGCACTCGTCAGCTGAACTGTCACCTGGCCCCACTGCTATGCAGTGAAGTTGAATAGCAAGCGGACGTGTGTCTGCAAAGCTAGTTGCAGCCTCTGTAAAGTACTCTGTCCTTCATTCAGAGGCGGCAGGCGGGTGACGGGGAGCCTCTCCTTTTGAAGGCTTTCCTGCCGGTGGTGGAGCCAGCAGGTCTGCAGCCTGGTGCTCGTGCGTGCTGTGCCCCTCCTCTCAGATGCGTTTCCTGGAGCATGTACACAGCCTCTGACGTGCCAGCACCTCCCCGACCTGAAATACCAGGCCTGGTGACCGCTGCTGCTTAGCACCTACCCGCCAGCCCCAGGCGGAGCCCTGCCTCATGTGCTCCCCATGGGGGCCACTTCTTTCCTGGGGGCAGCGGGTGAGTTGTTTTAATTGTGGGACCTGCAGGCAGCTGCTGCTGCTCCTCTTTGAGCAGGTTTTGTTTCCCACTCTCTGAAACATTTCCCAGACAGCTTTTAAGGGACTAGTAGGGCTTCAGCCTGGGGGGAGCCGGGTGCTGTTCAGGAGCCTGACTTCCTGCCAGTCCTGCTCCAGCCCTGTGTGCCCACCCTGAGGGCAGCAGGGCAGGGGCACAGTCGAGACTTAGAGGAGCTGCGCCCAGAAAACCCGGGAGCATGGTGGAGGATCTACCGCAGGCCAGGCTTAGGGCCCACACACGGGTCTTCAAAGAACAACTTCGTTGACTTTCATTTTTTATCAGTTTGGTGGGGGGAGATCTTTACCCAGGTAGCTATGAATTTTGTGTGGATTTTTACATAGTTGTGCTTTGTGTAAATTTGCAGTTTCCCAGTTTCTCTCATTTGATCACATCAGTGCTGTATGAGTTTAATGCTTAGATTAAAAACCCATGGTGTGTGCTACTGAGAGTAGGCTGCTGGGGTTAATTTGGTCTCATTTAGAGAGAATTTAAAGTCAGTTTTAGTAGAATCTTGCTTTTATTTGAAAAACCAAATTCCTAAAGTTAAGAGCATAAAATGCAAACCACAACTTTAAACCAGTACAGTAGAGCTAATTTTTGGCTTCAGCATTTCTGGGAATTGGGAGGTTTTCTTCTTTGGTTAGTGTAACTTTGTGAGGAAGGGGCAGGGTACCAACCAATTCAGTGGAAATTCGAGCTTCCTTGAAAACTCACATCAGGTGGTTCTGAAAACGTTCCACCGGGAGTGAGACGCACTCGCAGGTGCAACAGTAAATACCTTCCCAAAGCCGTGCCCATGGGTCTCACTGGGAAAGTTCGCTCTTCCCAGACAGGCCACCGTGGGTTGTCTTTAAATAGGGCCTGAGGGCTGGGAGGAGGGGAGGGCCCAGCATCGGCTGAGCCATTAGCGTCCTGTCTGTGGCTGCCCTTTGGGCGTGTTGTAGGAGCCAGGCCTCACCAGGGCAGCCCTGTGACACTCGCCTATGTGCGCATCTCTGAGTCCTGGAGGAGAAGCCTGGGACCTGAGGTTGCTACGACCTCCCTGTGCAGCACTGGGCTTTTGACTCTCTAGTAACCCCATGGAGGGGGTGGCTGCTGAGGTCTGGGGGCTGCTCTCATTGGCCAATTCCTCGCACTCAACACTGGTTCTGATGGGTCAGGGGTGCCTGTGTGCAAGGAAGCTGGTGGCCGACGTGACTTGGACCCACTGTGTTTAAGGAACAGCCTCAGGCGTGTCCTGTTGCACAGCTTACAACTTTCTGCCTCTTTGCTGCCTTTTACACGTGGGCCAGTAGAGACGCTCACCCCGGCTGATCTGTGACATACAGACTAACGCGTGGAGGCCTCAGGCAGGCCTGCCCTGGGCGCCCGGAGCAGAGGGGCCCGGTTTGGGGTCTGAGCAGAGGGAGGAGGACCTCAGGTGTAGTTTGAAAACTGGGTCAGTAGGAGCCATTTCAGTGTAGTTATGATGAAAATCACAGCTCAGGTGAGTGGGTGTGTCACAGACCAAGGCCTTTGTGGAGAAGAGCCGACCAGAGCAGCCATGTGCTGCGTCCAGCTCACTGTGTGGACAGAGCAGTGACAGGTGTGGACAGAGCAGCTTCCATGCCAGCCCCTTGCTCCCCGCTCGCATGTTCCTGGGCAGCACCTCACCCCTGCCCCCCAAAGTCCTTAACCCGTAGGCTCAGTCCAGATTTGGGTAGAGAGGGTTGGTCACTGGGACTGAGGATAGTGTGATGCTCCCTGTCAAGAACGTCTGATGCCCAGAAATTACCTTTTGGTGAGATTTGCTAAGAGCAGCTCAGGAAAGGATCCGACTCCTCGCCATCCTCAGGGCTGCGCTGGGCAGCGGCAGGCGGCAGGGAGAGCAGTCGTCTCGGGCTGCTAGTGGCAGAGCTGGAGAGGGTGTGGGTGCTGAGACCTCTGCTGGGCAAGGACTGAACTGCAGCCTGTTAATTAGGTGACTGCATTTCCTTTGTCTGTTTAGGTAAATAATTGGAGGCCGGTGGAGCTCCCTGCATGTAAATTGTTTGAGTGCATTAAGCAGACTTAGTCCCTAGACAGGCCGGGCAGGAAGCCCAGGTTTATCCCAAGACTGGAACTGACGGCAACACTGGCCGTGGAGTGAGCACCGTGACACAGACTGCACGGGGGCAGCTGCCACGAAATGCTAACGTCACCAACAAAGGGACCTTTGCCTTGTGTAGAACTTGGAAGGTGATCTGCCCTCGTAGGTGATCAGTTCTAAACAGAAGTTACTGGGGCAGTCGTTTCTGGTTTCGCTTAAAGGGTTAACTCTTAGGATGCTTGCCTGCAGCCCTGTCCATGTGCAGTGAGTGTTTAATGATTACTGATATTTAAGGACTATGAATCAGTTTAAACACACCGGCCCTTCAGAGGTGTGATCCGTAACATGGCAGTTTCCGCGGTGTGTTCACTCTCTTCATTCTCTCTGTAGCTTTATCTTCAGGCCAGGATGAGGGCCGACTGGGCGAGGCTCCTGCGGCCCACGCTGCAGTTCGGCCTCGTGGCCACATCCATTTACGTGGGCCTTTCTCGTGTCTCTGACTACAAGCATCACTGGAGCGACGTGCTGACAGGCCTCATCCAGGGAGCTGTGGTCGCAGTGCTGGTGGTAAGTACACTGGGCAGAGCCCACACCTGGGTGCTGATGGACACTTGGATACGTAGGTAGAAAAACGTCCCCTCGAGGAAACTGCAGGGGCCAAGAATGAGGCCTGTCCTGGGTTCCAGGTCAGAGCCCAGGGCAGCCAAGTCACGTCAGGGCAGACGGCTGATGGACACCAGGTTACTCTCCACGGAAGTGACCAAAAGCCCACCACGTGTTTTCATGGTGAAAGGCTCTGACTACAAGCTGTTTCCTTTTTGGTAATGAACTGACTTTAAGTGCCAGCAGCATGGGGCTGTTTGCCCAGAACATAGAAAGTGCCTCTCAATTTGGAAGTCCCCCTAACAAACATTCCTGTTAGCCACTGATTTTTGTGCCCTCGGTCTGCACCCATGACACACGCCCTTTTATTTAGTGTTGCAAACTGCTGACCGTAACTAATCTTCCTACAGGTCGTGTACGTATCCGATTTCTTCAAGGAGAGAAATTCTCCTTTTAAAGAAAGGAAGGAGGAGGATTCTCACACGACTCTGCACGAAACGCCCACAGCGGGGAACCACTTGCGGAGCAACCACCAGCCATGAGGGCCGAGTGCCCAGGTGGAGCCGGCGGCTTGCCGAGGGAGGAGGTGCCACCTGAGGGCAAGGGTGGTCTCGGTCGGGTGCACCGCTCTGAGGACTCTGCTGCTATCCCGACGCTCACTTTACCTGTGTGTATATACTCACGTAACAACAGCTGTCTAATGGCTCCGAGTTCATGAAAAAGTTCAAGCCTTTCACTAAAACAACGCCTCACCTGTACATTTTTATTAAAATGTAATGCTTATGTACACATGCGTATGTAATATGCTTGATTTAAATAGAACACGGGTTACACGTTTGAGGACGACTGTTGTGAGATGGGCGAACCAAGCGACACTCGTGAGCATCTGTGGTCAGGCGGGAGGCGGGCAGGCACGCCCCCGTTCCTGTAGCTCCTCACTACAGGTACAGGCTGGCAGCAAACACAATGTCTCTCTTGATTTTGGTGATTCCTGAGAGATAAGAAAACACGGCTGTGTAAACCTGGACGACCATAAAGAACGTAGCTCCCTCTCCTGGGGAGGTAGAGGCAGCACGAACTCCAGGATAAGTCAGTGAGACAGCAGCCTGCACAGCACCAACCTCGCTGGTCTGAGCAATACGGGAGCGTTCACACCACCGGGGGGGGGCAGGCAGCTTGGAAACCAGACCCCTGGTCTGATGCCTCAACTCCAATGTTACCTGTGCATGTGTGTGCATGCGTGTGTGTGTGTGGTGAGGGGGGTGTAGGGATGTCTAAAAATATATATTTTTAAATTATTTGGGGAAGGATTAAACTGTCAAATGAGATGACCCAAAGGCATGCATTTTCAACCTGAAGACACTGCATTTTCAATTACTGTGTGAAATTCTTTCTGGACCGAGGCAGGACAATGGTAGATTTTATTATTTACAAAGCTCCTCTAACTAGACTTGAACCCGGCGTGATGAGACAGGTCTGCCTCCCTCGGTGCACAACATAAGCCAGTGTCTGTAGACAGCTCAGGACACGAGTTGGCGGCAGAAGTTGCTGGAGTCTTGGATGTTTGGGCTCGGTCCACATGTGGCCACTTACAAGCCTCTCTGCCCCGTCACCACCACCTGGCTCTAGCCATCCTGGGACCTGGACTTCCTGCCACCTTCTACTCTACAGACGCCCGTGAAGAGCAGCGAGGACTGCCTGGTGGGACCTGCCATCATCTTCAAGGAAGCTGAGGGCCGGGCCACACGGTCATTTCTCTCCCTCCATCCCCTGCTCTTCTCCTCGCCCACTGGGCTCCAGCACACAGGCCTCTGCCGTCACGTGTGCCAAGCACAGGTGAAGGGCCTAACAGTTGCCTGAGCAGGCGCCTGCGCTGTCTCACCCATCCCCCAATCCACAAGGTCTCTGTTTTTCCTGTTTTTCTGGACCTGCTTATGGTCTGTCTCCTGTGCTGGAACATGAGCTCCAACAGGCAGGAGTGTGTCCCCAGTGGTGGCACACAGGAGGTGCAGCGCGTGTGTGCGTGCGTGTGTGCGTGTGTGTGTACATAACATGATCTTAAAAACTTGCCCCAGACACTGAAGTTTTACTTAAACGCCACTAGAGGGCCCTCAGGGCCACCCAGTGGAGACCAGATGACTGTGCTGCCCGACTGACTGAGCAGACTAGACAGGAGGGACACTGACCTTCCGCAAACTTGTTCTCTAGCTCCGTGTTCCCAATGGCCTTCGCCGCCTGGCACATCTGTCGGAGCAGCTCTTCCAGGCGCCTCATGCAGCGAATGATGCTGCCTGGACAGAGAGGGAACATGGCTGGTAAGATGGGGAGAGACAGGAAGGCTGGGACAGACGATGGGCTAACGGGACGTCTGGGACTGCCGAGCAGCAGGTGACAGCTACACAGGTGCCGGGCTGCCTGTGAATCCAGGTGCGAGGAAGGGAGCAGAGATGGAGGTCCCTTCCCATCCTTACTAATGGCAGAGTCGTGGGTTTAGCATCAAGGGTTAACCCTGTTCCTACAGAGCTCAGGGAACGCAGGCCTGGGCGCAGGCCAGCGACGGCACAACCTGGGTCTACGGGAATCAAGGGCTGTGGGCAGGGGCGGGGACATGAGAAACGCCTGACAGACTGCAGCCGTGAGGATCCCAAGGAGGCACCGGGACAGCACCCTGTGGGAATGCAGCGGGTTTTCAAGCAGGGGTGATGGGGTCCAGCCTCATTTGAGAGGTGCAACTGTTCCTCCTCGACGCATCGGGGCTTCCTCACGGCGTCCTCAAGGGGATGAGCAGCCTCTGCCCACTGGCTTGACCCTGAGGCAAGTGCTTTTGTCAAAGCTGCTGCTGTGAGCAGTCACTGTGAGACGTGAGCACGGCGGCCTGGCTCCTCTCTAAGAGCCACCCGCCTGACGGAAGACTCGGGACTTCATGAACATCCGTCCTCTGGCAGGCTGCTGTGGACTCGGCTGGAACCGGACAGTCCAACACGGATCCAGGTCCTGTGACGCACCCACTGCACCCTGCCCATCACCTTCAGCAGAGAGGTAACTCATCGAGCAGAAGGGCATCTGAGCTGACACAGCCGCCTCCCTGATGGCCAGCACAAAGCAGCCAGTGCCGGTGCCAGTGCCGGCAGAGGCCTCCTGCAGGACATCGGGACCCAAGGAAACACTGCACAGGGCTGGGCCAGAGCAAGGAGACAAGGATGTCGTTTCGGGATGAGATGGGTCACAGAGACGACTCCCAGTACGAGGTCACCTCGACAGACAGGACAGTGCATCTCTAGGAAGAGGGTGCTCACCTACTTACGATCGGGTTTGAAGGTGTGAGCGGAGGCACCAGGAGTGAGGGGAGAGACGAGATGGAGACCTGGGTTCTAGTCTGGATCCTGCCACTCAGTATTTTAGCAACCCAGGCCCCTGCTCTCTCCGACTTCCCTTTCTCATTTGTAAGATAATTACAATCGAACTCGGAGCCCGTGCCTTTTTGCCCTCCCTACTCTCCTTCCGTGGTTCTTGGAGAAAACCTACAGCCCTCCATCCCAGCCGACTTCCCCGACACAACTGTCAGTTATTCAGCTCCCAGCAGACAAGGTGACCAGAGGAGTCAGTCACAAAAATGGCAGCCGGAACAGAGAAACAAATGACATGAAATCCAACCAACCAAGCACCAGGGTCGAGGGTGGCACCTCCCTCCCGCTGCCCACACAATCTCCCTATAACCAGAGGGCTTTCTTGTGTCACAGGAGAGCCAGGTAACTGGCGATGATGGTGACTCTTGGGCAGAGTGTGTTCTGAGAAAAGGGTGGCAGCCAACATTGTGTGCACCTATTGTGGCGGGTCTGCAGGCGGCAGTTTAGGTAGATTCTCTCGCTTGACTTTACTCCAGGAGACAAGCCCTGCTCTTACCCTCACTGGACAAAGAGGGAAGGAGAAAAGTTACACCCTAACCTGACCACAGAAACAACTGGCAGACACTCAGTTTTCTACAATGTACTGTTCTATAGATGTCAATTTATAATTAAACTCAGTGTACATGTTTAAAATGACTGTGAGAAAAATGTATTTTGTGGTTTTTAGGCCTCAGAGGCACACACTCTGTAGAGATCATCATTGCCAGGCAATGCCCAAGGAGCTCTGTTAATGGGCTTCAAGATGTAGGAGGTAGTAAAAACTGGCGAGGAGGTCCCAGCAGTCAGACAGGGTCTATTCTGTGAACCTGGCAATCAGGTGGTCACTGGTGACTCATGTGATTTTACGGGAGCAGGAACGAAAGGCATGGCACTGAGGATGGTCCTTTGTCCACGACTCTGGTCATTGTACACAGATGGCCTCTGTGTCATCACTGAGAACCTCAGTGTGTTCCAAAGTTCATCCCATTTTAGCACCATCAGCAGCTCATTCCTTTTTCTAGCTGAGCACCGTCCCACTGAATGGACGTTCCACAGTTTAACTATTCATCCCTGACGGACATTTGGGTGCACGTGCCTGAAGGGCAATTCTGCAGACATGAGGCTCATCTGTTCTTGAACAAACACTCTCACCGAGGATGGAAAGCAACATGTCCCCCTGAGCAGCATTTCTCCCTCCTACTTCCCAGCACCCCCCCCAGTGGCTCCCACAGGTCATGTGCTGGCTCCAACTCAACACTCCCTCCTGCATGAGTTCAGTGGGTCTGACCTGAGGTTAGCCCCACAAATGTATTTTCCTGCAAGCACTTAACACAAGGCACCAGCCTCGGCCGAGCCCTTTCTGGAGGGCAGAGGCTCACTGTTCACACTGTGCCCAGGGTCTCAGTAATTCACCAAATGAGTATCAGGTACTTATTCCTAAGTCATTTAGTACTGACTGTGCCTAAGTTTAAACAGAAATGACCTGTATTAATAAAATACTACTCTATACTTTTTAGCGAAAGTATTCCTAAGAACAAGTCCACTGGAAAATCCCTAATCACCTGGGTGTGCCCGGCCTAGGGTGAAACCACGCAGGATGCAAGGCGTCCGAGAACACTGTGGTGGGCAGAGGGTGGGAACGTGCTCTCTAGTCGCTCAGAAAACCCACCTCGAGCAAGACAGTAAACAGTTTCGAGTAACGATTGTCCCAGGAGCTTTCCCGATGATGTGGGTGCAAAGCAAGCCCTTTGTGTGGGGTGAGGGGTACAGTAGTGGTTTTTGTAGACAGCAATAAACAGTAATGGCTGCTGTCCAGGTTGCAATGGATCCGCTGACAAGCCACAGGCTCTAGCAGCACAAATACTTAAGTTGCCTTCAAATCCAGTTCGATGGAAATAGGAAACAACTACATTCTACCAGTTTTTTCAGGGTTATAACCGAAGAAATATTTATGTGACGTCTTTAAAATTCCTCAAATGAATCCCAGTTTACGACACCCCACACATGGTGTTCAACATCATGATGTTAACTAGTCCTAGCTAATGCTCAAAAAATACTTAACTACCTCTGAGCTCAGGACATGAAACCATCAGACCCTTTTCACATAAGAAAATAAGGATCTAATGTCTAAGCGCAGCACATTAAAAGCCCCAACACGGCCACTTCCCGCCTGTGAAAATACACGCTGTCCTGTGGGCTGGGGCTCTGATCACCGTGCTCTCCAATCACAAAGACGTACAATTACGAGGGGAGGAGCGAAGGGCTATTCTGCAATGGAGAACCATGGCAAAAAGGGGGACACAGTACATTGAAAAAAGGAAATACTACCCTAAGTAACTCAAGGTTGTCAGCATTTTTTTGCTGTTTAATCACTCAGTTTAAGAGTTGATATACAGCCTATTCCAACTTCAGGAAAACTTCAGTTGAACAGTGGCACCCAGACCAGAAAACAAGAAAGCTGTCCTCATGTTAGACCAGATTTCAAACTTCTAGATTTCTCAAGCAAACTGTGATGCAGAAACAGCCTCAAGGACTTCAGGAAAGCGAGCGTCCTGTGGAAAAGGCCAGCTCAGCTCACAGGTGGGAGAGCTGCAAACTATCTTCAATCTGAGCAGTTTCAGATTTACCTTCCGGACTGTGATAACTTCCCCATTTACGTACAAGGAACACACACAATCCACAAAAACAACTTCACAGGCCTCTAGATCCCAGGTCTGCTGCCCCTTGATTTTTCTTAAAACAAAACTCTCCCTCATGAACCACTATTGTCACTGTTTGACTTCTTGGAAAAGCATGTTTTATATAAACAGGAGCTGTTACACTACCAGATTTGGAATGACTAAGACACGAAGGCATCAGTTTCCTTGTCTTAACCTGAAGCAGGCGATGGACTCCGCACCTCGGACACGCACAGGCTGCCACACGCCTGCCATGCTTCCCTCCCCTCGCCCCCTCAGATGCAGCCCCCACCATGAATCGCACTGCAGGCCTCCCCACCCTTCCTACAAGCTCTCACTTCCAGTGGACAGCGATGGTACAGACAGGTTTAGATTTAAGAAGTCCCTAGAGGATCCCAGACTCCAGAACAAGGTTACTATGGTGCTGTGTGACTTGTAGTGAGCGATGGAGGCCAGGTTCACGTGCAGTGCCATCCCGTAGGACACCTCCACGACCTTGGTCTAGTCACTTTCTAAAACCTCAATGTCCTGTGCAAAGTGGAAACAGCAAGCCCCTCCCCCAAGCTGCTTTGGTGACTGGATCTAAATTATCTCAGGTGCTACTGGCACAGGGCCTGACAAGCAGTGGATAAGCAATGACTGTCCCAGTCACAGGGGACAGCACTCAGAGGAAGATTCGGGGACCGTGTTACTAACCAGCCATTTAATGAAGGCTTGGAAGTAAACCTCAGGGAAGAGAGTCACACGACACACCGTGACACAACAGTAACACGGCAACTGACACTTGAAATCTGTGGGCTCATTTCAATGTTAATGCACCGGAGCAAAGCTCATCGTTAAAAGTTTTAATATTCTGTTGCAGATGGTTAACCAACAAATCATAAAAATCATTCATAGATAAATGTCATCTACAGGGGTTGGCAAAAGTAGGGTTACAGCTGTGAGCACACGAAACTATTTTTGCATTAATATTGTATTTTCCGTATGGATTAACTGTAAACCTACTTTCGCCAACCCCTGTATTAGTCTTTTAATAATCAGTTAAAAAGCATATAATATTCATCAATCTTGTTTATCTTTTCAAAGACCCAGCTCTTAGTTTCACTGATCTTTTGTATTGTTTTTTTAGTCTCGATGTCATTTATTGCTGCTCTAATCTTTATTATTTCCTTCCTTCTACGTACTCTGGGCTTTTTTTGTTGTTTTCTTTCTTGATCTCTTTGGTAACCCATCATTGTTTAAAAACATGCTTTTCAGCCTCCATGTGTTTGAATGTGTTTTAGTGTTTTTATTGTAGTTGATTTCTAATTTCATGCCACTGTGGTCCAAGAAGATGCTTGATATGATTTCTATCTTCTTGAACTTAGAAAGACTTGTTTTGTGTCCTAACATGTGGTCTAACTTTGAGACTGATGAACCTTTAGCCAGACTCATCAAGAAACAAGGAGAGAGGACCCAAATAAACAAAATCAGAAACGAAAGAGGTGAAGTAGCAACTGACCCAACAGAAATACAAAGGACCGTAAGAAAATACTATGAACAACCATATGCGACCCAGCTGGAAAACCTGGATGAAATGGATAAATTCTTAGAAAAAGACAACTTTCCAAAACTCCATCAGGAAGAGTCACAAAGTCTAAACAGGCCGATAACTGCTGATGAAGTTGAAGCAGTAATCAAAGGGCTCCCAGCACACAAAATCTCTGGCCCGGACGGCTTCACAGGGGAGTTTTACCAGACATTCAAAGAATTAACACCTATCCTCCTCAAACTATTCCAAAAAATCCAAGAGGAAGGAACACTTCCATGCTCTTTTTACGAGGCCAGCATTAGCCTAATTCCAAAGCCAGATAAAGACACTACAAAGAAAGAGAATTACAGGCCAATATCCCTGATGCACACAGCGGCTAAAATCCTCAACAAAATACTAGCAAATAGGATCTAGCAGTACATTTAAAAGCATATAATACTAAGTGTACTAAAAATAAAATCTTTCTCCAAATAGCTATAAATAGTACAATATTTTAAATATTCTTATAATGATCTGTATGAAGTCCAAGCTCATTTATTTTCATTTTTAAGACAGTTCAATGTAAGTGTCTAATATGTAAGTATAATTCCGCACAATGAACATCTACCTAAGCCACTCTGCCTGCAACAAACACAACCCTTACAAGCCTGGTCGCCTGCACTGTGCTTACTCTCTTGCTTCCTGTAATTCACTTATAATAATTACTCCTTATATATTCCCTTTGCTTTATTTTCTTATTTAAAGCTTCTCTTCAGCTGAGCAGCACTTATGTTTCAGTCTCTTAAGAGCCTGCTCATGAGTCTGATTCTCACAGGATTAACAGTCTGACAGAAGCAACGCCTGTTATGTAACACGCGCAGGGACAGCATTTTCATCCACCGTTTGTCAAGGGAATCACACAGCAAGCCATTACGTTATTAGCGCGAGAACAAACACAGAAAGTAAATGCAAACATGACTTACCAGGTTGTCTGTTTGTCCTGATGGCAGAGACTCCGCACAGGATTGCAAACAACTAGAACAGTTTCCTAAGGAATCTATGACGAGCGGACCACACTTATGACATAACACAGAGGGTTTGTGTAGAATGTTTGTGATCTACACAGGCAGTGCATTCCTGGGGG